TCGAGTCAATTCGAGCCACGAATATTTGAACACTTTATACCAAAACTGATAAAAGGAGGCCATAAGTTTAGCCGGCGTTCGAATCCAAGAGCTTTAGAAGAAATTGCCCAAAGCCAATGATGAAACTACGAATTGGAAAATGTGTTTTAAATCCGGTTCCTGCATGGAAAGTTTTAATTTTGTGCGTTCTAGAACCGTGAGGTGGGAGTCTGACAAGCGGCTGCTGTACCGTACTGTATACGCAAAGTGACGTTTTGCATTTGTAAGTCATTGCACATACTTTTCGCAAAGTTTTGCTTTTAATTTTGGGACTCGAACCTTATTATCCTTTGCTCGAGCAACAGCACCAACAATCAAACTTTTTGTTTCTACTCCGATTTTATTTATAAAAATAACATCTTCATATTCAATAAATCCAAAGAACTTCTAGTTCGTGTTTAGGCCTCCATCTTAATTTTTCTTTTACAAAAAAGAAGAAGAATCAAACGAAATCATTTTGAACACAACTCTTCAAAGTCCGGGTAAAAAGCCAGTTTTATAAACACTTCAATGTAGTATTCCTAGAAATTGGTTCAGCTCGTGTGCCGGTGTGCCCGAATTAGAAAGTGGTAAAAAGCCCCAACCAAACATAACACAGTAAAACGTTACAGCCCAGAATGACCTGTAATGGTTTTCTAATAAATTAAGTCATAAAATATTGGTACTACGCTGTACTTGTTTACAGGTCTGGACTCCGTGCTGGCTGGCACTGAGACTCCCAAAATTCCTGGAAGATGTGATGGAGGAACGACGTATCCATTACCAAATTGTCGGGGGCGGGGAGGGGGGGGGGTGCAAGAGGGCTCGAGTAATATTTTTTTGGCAAAAAGGGGAAGGGGAATAAGTATATTTCCACACTGTATTTAAAGGGCATGTAATGTATAGTTTTTAATGCATTCCTTGTAAATGCACCTTTGTGTCCCATTTCTACCTTATTTTCAATATGACCATTTTTAAGGGCATTTTGGTGCCTTTTTAGTTTTTATGCATATGCAAATTTACATATTCATGAGCAAAAGTGTGATGTCATTTCAGGCAGAAAACGCAATGTTGTAGTTATTTCAGCACATAAATTTGACAGCAATTTGGATATTGTGCTGGCGTAAATTGTCTATGACTCGCTTTATGATTGAAAATCTGACTTCTGACAACCAGGGAATTCAACTCATTGATAGGAATGACCCCATCCAGTCCCACAGATTTCAGAGTTTAAAAAATGACAAAAAACTTGACATTTTGTTACAATTATTGTAATACATGTGTATTATATTACCCCATCACCTTGATTTGCATTAGGGACTATACAGGGTGAGTCAAAAAGAAAGTGATCGGCGGATTGGGCCAAAAAAAGTCTCCGGTTTCTGGTATGCGCGCGCGTCGCCGTAGCCATGCGCATCGGCATAATGAAAAAGTTTTTTTTTTCAATGAAAGATGATGTCTCAAAACCGCCAAACTCACTGGTTTGACTGGAATCCTGCTGCTGCACAATTTTAGATGGGGTTACGATCGAGAATAAGCTTTATGTGGCCTCTCTGGACTCCCATATATTTGCACTAAGTTTAGTCGGGCACCATTTGCAGTCATCAGCCGACATTTGAAGAAAAAAAAACGGTGGAAAAAAAAGCCGCGTCGCCACGCCACTTTTTTGGGCAAGCTCCATACCAGAAACCGGAGACTTTTTTTTGGCCTTAATGATTTTTCTTAACAAGCCATCAAATTTGATACACCATGTCTCAACAGAGTATGTTCTTCCACTCATCTGATTCTTGTTTTCAACTGATCAATGCTATCAAAATGTATGCACGTTTTACTGAAAGAAGACGTTTTAATGGCTGTTCTCGGAATGGCATTGGAAGCTATTTCAAAGACAAATGAGATTTTAAATGAGTCAAGAATGAAACGTTATTTTTATTGTCAGATTTTGTGTTTTGAATATGAGGAACAAGTCTATTCCCACCCCCCCCCCCTGAAATATTGACGGCGATTTTTGTCTGTTTCCATTGCAAGTTTTCGTTCGTTCATGGGAGTAGGAAAACATTCGTTGTGTTTAATGGGTATTCTTCAGTTCGTAGAACGGTAAATGATCAGTGGTGGTGGACAGCTGAATTTTGTAACCTTTTTTTTATTAAAACAAACATAACTTGGAAACAGAGAAAGTAAATTACGTGAACTGTTTACTATTCAAAAGCATGTACTTTATCCCCATGTTAATTTTATTTTTATGGAATGGAGCAAGACACATATTTATATATTTTCCAAATAACATTAGCATCTTGAATCAGTGAAGTTGATTAGTCCACTACATTGTTTTCTATCCTATGATTTCTACACATCTGAGTATGAAATATTCAATGAAAATTAATAAGCTGGCAAGATTGAATTCTGTGTTATCACCTGTTAATATGCTGACTAGTGTCTGATCATCATTATTATAATTTTGGCACAGAAAAATGTTCAAGCTTTTTTTATCCAAGCAGTTGCAACTGAGAATTATATCAAATAAAAATATGATCAGCTGTTGAAATCTATGACCAAAACAAATGATACTTTCAGAATTTGAAGAGCAGCAGGATGAAATATTTCAAATTAAATAAGCAACATATTAGTAGTTATAAAATAATTAACAGAGAAATGGGTCATTCAGGAGACATTTCCATAGAATTGTGTACAAAACTTTGTCGACCTATAACTCTTGACCTGGTTGACCTGACCCGACCCAATTAAAACTTTCCCTATTTCTAAATGACTCCCCCCCCCCCCCCCCCCACTATCTAACTTTCCTGCAAACCAATCCCAACCTTCTCTCTAAAAGGTACTTGTGACCTTACGGAGACATCGAAATATCTCCCTAATGTCACCCGTCTCCCAAAGTTAAGATTAATAACAACAAAATGTCCCCCAAGGGAACATATAGAGTTGTCGTGGTTTTACTTTGGAATTTACTCTCTAAATGTGAAAGAGTGAAAAACTCGCTCTCCAAAAGAGTAAATCTCTTATAAAACCACTCCAAAAGAGTGACATTTTCAGACTTTCGAGGAGCCATATAAGTGGCAAGTCTAAAAAGAGTGGTCCCTTATTTTGGGTCCACTTTTTCCCCCGTCCCTGTTACATCTAACATCTATGATTTCCACAATTCTGATGCACTCCTTAATGCAGTCGTCTTCCAAGAGTGATAATGAATAGCAAGCTACCTACCCAACGAATATAAAATTGTTTTGAAGTCATTCTTAATGATACTTGAACAGCTAATTACAAAGTGCCAAGGTAACAGGGATGATGTCACTCTTTGGACCCCAAATTAAATTTACAAAATAACCCTAATTGACTGACTTAATATCTTCCCCAAACCCTTGTTTACAGTTATTTATGATGCAAAGCACACACTTGACTCCAGATTATAACTGCCAAAAAAAAAAAAAAATTATCAGGGTAGAAAAATAGTTAACATTATGTACAAAACCACCAACAATTCTGCATAAAATTTCATTCTCTCTAAAGCTATCCAAAAACACCAACAATTGTACATAAAATTTCGTTATTTCAAATCTATCTCTCCAATTATACAAATTTTATACTTCTGTATCAAACGTATATGTAGAAAATGTACAAATGTATTTAAAAAAAAATTAAGTGCATAGGGGAAATTCGTTCTTTCAAGTTTGCCTCAGGCAAGCGCAAAGTCTGCGACAGTTCCGTAGTCGAGTTAGACAATTCTACAAAAGTTGCATAAATAAGGGTCGTTCAGATGGAGGGCCATCTCCGAAGATAGCTCCAGAGCTAGCTACAATCCCGGCCAAAACTCACTGGGCCCCCACCCCCAGCCAATGTTGTCTCTCATTAGGCAGTCTGTGCTCGCGAGATGACAACATTGACTGGGGGAGCAGGGGACCGGAGGAAGGTATGCTCACAGTGGCGCACCCAGGATTTGGTTTTGGGGGGGGGAGGGGGCCTCAAAAAAAAAATTTTGGGAGGGGAGGCCTATTTTGACGTTGGTGGCGCCACTTACACCCCTATTATACTACTCAAAAACAGGCCACATTCATATCACCAAGACCTAATCGTGGGACTAAAAAAAAAAAAAAAAAAAAAAATATTGACAACCTCTTTGGGGGGGGGGGGGGGTTCAAGCCCCCTGAGCCCCCCCTTGGGTGCACCACTGTATGCCCACTGTGTCCCAAACATTTTGGCCGGGATTGTAGTTCCACCAAAAATAGTTGTCATGTTTGGACGCCACTCAACTCCGCCTCTAGAGCTATCTCAGGAGCTAGCCGGGGCAATTGTAGCACCACAAATCTGTGGGGCTAAGCTCCACTTTCAGGTCAGTGGGGCTTCTTTTTATGACCTAGCTCCACCATTACTTCTCGTTTGAACGCAACCGACCTAGCTCCACGCCGATGCATCCGGTCGTCGTTTGTTTTGTCTGATTCACCGTGTCACCCATGAACATATATAACACAACCTCTTTGGTGACCATTTAACTTCACTGAAACTCCAGCTCCGTAGTTAGCCATGATTGTATGAATGTGAGCACATTTTCAATTTGATCACAGAACCCCCGTTGAGTTCATTAATTGGAAAAGAGCTAACTCAAAAACTGCTCTTATGTCTGAACATACCCATTGAGAAATCTGTTCACACGCTTCAATGCACCTATGGGACATGCCAAAATTATGATGTAACGCTACTGTGGTTAATTATAGACAAAAACACTGCCACAATGCGGCGGACATAACCTTGGTGTCCCACGAACAATCATAACGTACGTTTCCAGATTCGCATGTTAAAATTAGAAAGAAACCTTTAAATTACAAAAATACATATATCACAGTAGTTTCTTTATGATGAGTCTGCGGCACACTGAGTACACATAACGTTTAAATTGTTTTGTAAAAAAAAATCATTTCAAACATTTACAAGTTCTACAGAAAGTGTAACATACGGTTAACGTTTGGTGTTTTTTCCCTCCTTATTGTGAGTGACCAATGTGGGTTAAACTCAAATAATATCTGTGGGGATTGAAGGTCTAAAGGCTACTTGCAGATTCTGAAGCCAACGTTGAAGCCAAACCACTAACAAAACCTGGGTTTCAAAAACCTCCATTGTTAAGTCTCTGTCTAGGTTCAAAATACAGATTTAGTCTGGTTCCCCCATACACATATCCTTCGCGTCATAAAAACAAACCCAACATATATAATTATACTAAGTCAATAAATACACCTTTTAACTACATGTACATGTACATGTGTATATTCCTTGTTATAAACACACTCGTAATTTGTATTCAATGCAATTACATTCACTTTGGATGGTTTGCATTCAGTAGTTGCTGTTGATCGATCGCCTGATTGGCTGGCGGTTGTATGAAAGAGTGGCTGTGATTGGTCGGTTTAGTCAAAGGCTTCGTAGATCTCTTGTTCTTCTTCTTCCTCAGAGCCACTACCATCTACACAAGAAAAAAAACATCAGCATGAAATGTAGTGTGTTAACCAGTTAAGGATGTGACACGGTCTGACAATGTATATTCACAGGGGCGGGTGACGGGTTAAATTGTCAAGCTTTCCCCGGTGGACGTGTATAACACGTCAGTGGTTACCCATGGTTTTGTTCACACTGTGTTGAACTTGCACTTGGCCGCTGTACGCGGCCTGTCGTTGTGCCAAATATTGCTCTGTGGCGGGGCCTCAGGGTGTTACAAAATATGAAGTTATGGTGAGAAGTATCATACAAATAAACTATTCATAAGGTGGAATTTTGCGTCAGGGCAATGTAAATCAAATTAGGTTTTGCCCTTCACCGACGTATAAACACTGTATAAAAACTCAGTGTGTTACCTTCCGAGTGAAAGTTGGAACAAATCACTCGGGTGGGACTCGAATAGTTTATGCGGTACCCACTGCTATGTTCATCAGATTCGAACCAGCCAACCGATCCCGTTAGCTCGGTGGTCGAGTGGTAAGACGTCTGCTCTAGATTTTTTCTAACTTTCATTCGGGAGGTAAAACACTGAGTATACAGTGTTTATATGTCGATGAAGGGCAAAAGCTAATTTGATATCGTACAAATGTTGTACAAATGACTCTCCAGAGTCAGTATTTTTGGTATTTGACTTAATTTTAAATGATATATCTTTCAAAAATGATATTCTACCTTCCTACCCGGTAAATTTTACAGTTTACGTGTACACGTACAGTAACTGGTTCGTTGACACATCGCACACGCGGTTCAACATTCGGCTGAATGAGAATCATGTCCCGAATGATGATTTCAGGATTGTGTCACGAGAGGGCGCAATTCAAAATGTGACTCGGCAACTTTGGATTTGAAATAGAGATCCTGAATATTGTGTATAATGCTTGTTCTGTTTTCTTGGAATAAACAGCAACCACAGAGCTAAAACTTCATCAAGTTAGTTTTTAAGCACCCATCTTAAGATTTGTGAGCACTTTTGTTGCTTCAAACCAAACAAAATGCACACATTACAAATGGTCCATTCTACCAAATAAACACTTGCAAAAACTCAACAAATAGGTTGGAATTAAAACCATCTATAATCTGGCTCCCAAACTTCTCTTGCACATGCTGCGAGTGTAGGCGGTAATGTTATCTGCAAAGTGTTGATAAACTTAAAAATCATCTTACCGCAAGGAATGACATCGTCGTAGGGTTCTTGAAAGTCAGTCTCAATGGCTACAAAATCTGCATCGACAAAGCCGTCTATCAGGAAAAATAAAGAAAGGAAATGTTTCAATGAACAACTTAAAGCCAAGTTGGTGGTCCATTACTGATCTTAATTTCAGTACAGGTCTGCTGTTCAACATTAACTAGAGCTTGTTCAAGATTGAAAGGCATTTCACAGGCGCAAGGTACATGTAAGTCTATGGTTTGCCAAGGAGTTGTAGTTGAGTCAATCACAAGTCAAACCACACATCAGGTCACCCACGCTTACACAGGCATAGAAGTGGGGTACTTCCTTTGTTCTCGTTTACTAAAATTTTGCAATGTCTCACACTAATTTCAAAATGCTCTTATTTGAACCCGAATTAATTTCCTGGGCTGAAATTCGGACTTAATATCCCTTTTCTAAAACTCTTCCATTTGCGACGGATCAACACACCTTGGAAATTCCTAGTTTTGAGTAAAATCTCATATATCTATTTCGTGAAAAACTTGTGGGGTACCAAAACGGTACCCCGCAAGTCGATGGGCATTCCTTGTGGGGTACCTCCCATTGTTCCGGTACCTCATAAGACAGTGTTTATACGTTCACAGGTACTGAACAATGACAAAGGAATGCCTAGCTGTCCATGTTCATTTGAGAAGCTTGTGACTTTATTGTGACTTGATGACTTGTGGTTGACTTTTGGGGAACTTGCGAGGACTTGTGCGGACTCGCAAAGACTGTGTGGACTTGTGAGGACTTGAAAGTAACTTAGGGGAACTTTGAGAACTTGATGGGACTGAGGACTTGAGGGGACATGTGAGGATGTGCGAGGCCTTGTGGGGACTTGCTGGGACTTAAGGGGACCTTTGAGGACTTGAGGGGACTATTGAGAACTTTTGAGGACTTGTGGTGGACTTGCGATTACTTGATGGGACCTGTGAGGAATTGTGAGGACTTACGCGGACTTGCGGGAGTTGTGGGGACTTGTGGGGACTTGTGTGAATTTGTGAGGAATTCCGAAGACTTATGAAGACTTGTGGGAGCTGTGGGGACTTGTGAGGACTTATGAGGAGTTGTGGGGACCTTTCGGGAGTTGAGGACTTGTGAGGACTTGGAAGGACTAGTTGTTGGGACCTGTGAGGACTTGTGAGGACTTGACAACTCTAGTTAATCAAAGATTCCTTGTGTAACGTGCTCATCACTAAAATATAGGATCTAAAATAGCGCCCTCTGTGAGTACAATGTTGACCTATAAAAAAGCTTGACACTCACATCTTCCTTGCAAATCCCTCGCTAGCCACTTCCCTGGTGGGTTGCCGTCTCTTCTTAAGACCTCCAGTCTGTCGCCTCGCTTACAGATCAGATCTGTCCTCTCGTAGTCAGAGCCGCAGTCCTGTGTGACGGTTCCCGAGTCTAAGACTTGGATTTCTCCTTTGATCTGTGAGCAGACAGAGACATTTTTAAAGGACATGTTATTAGCATCTGCGACACAGTTTGCCGTTGAGCAAGATTGACCTCAGGTATCTTCACTCTACCCAAGCTGGTCAACCGCCGTTGGACTAGTCTAGTTAACTATTCAACACCAGCCTAGTCATATTGTTGGTTACAATAGTCATGTGTATCACAAGACGCAGTAGGAAGCAAGGACCAGGAAGTTTTGTGATGAAGGTTTGACCATCGTTTGACTGGAGTTGTTGCATAAGTAGCGTCATGCATCTAGCACAAGTTGACCAGTGTTCCTCCATTGAACATTGGCCCACCAAGAGAAGGCATACGGCCCGATCTACTATTCTTATCCCCCTTCTGTCCTAATAGGGTTAAGCTCCCTGAGCACTTTTAACTAAGATCATGGTGCATTATTATAACCCGTGATCACTGGGCCAATGAAATATTCCAAAGCCAATCTCAGCTCCCTGGGGAGTAAACAGCTTGATGCTGCCATTTCGGCACAAAGCAGCTAAAATCAGACAGTGGCGCGCACCCAGAATTTCGCTTTGGGAAGGAGCTCACAATTTATTTTTTTTCCAAATTTTTTAGAATTTAAAAAAGTTTTCAAAATATTTTTCCCCAAATTTTTGGCTGCAAAAGAAAAAAAAAAAATTTTTTTTGGGGGGGGCCCGACTATTTTGACATTGGTGGCGCCACTTACACCCCTATTATTCTGCTCGATAATAGGCCACATACATATCACCAAGGTCAAATTGTGGGATTAAAAAAAAAAAATAAATAAATGACAACCTCTGGGGGGAGGGGCTCAAGCCCCACAAGTCCACCCCCTTGGGTACGCCACTGAAATCAGTCACAATAACCATCTCTATCCTCACAGGTACCCATTTACTCCTGGGCGGAGAGAAGCAATGCGTTACCAAATGTCTTACCAAGGAACACATGCACCACAACCCCAGGCTGGAATCGAACCCACAACCTGCAGAATTACCCGCAGATGGCGAGTTCAACGCTTCAGACTGCAAGGCTACGGCACTCTAAACAGCGACGTAGATTTGAAAAAAACGTTAAAAAAATATCTAAGCCAGTCTTCTACTCACATTGAATTTCTTCTTCATTTCCTTTTCTTCTTTCTCCTTCCTCTTCTTCTCTTCCTTCTCCCGTTTCTTGCGCATTTCTTCCTCCTTTTTCCGCCTCTCCTTTTCCAGTCTCTCCTGCTCTTTGCGCTGCTTCTCCTCCTGTTTCTTGGTCGACATGGTCTTTCTTGGAGACAGCAGTGAGGATGGGGTGGTGGTGGGCCTGGACGCGACGTCAGCCGAGTCGCTGGACTCTATTGATGGTCTGAAATCACAAACGATAACAAAGTAATACTGATAAATAATCATGAGGTGCTTATATAGCGCTTCATACCAAAGGTCTCAAAGCGCTTCACAATTTTTACCCCTGTTCATCAGGCAATGAGACCAGTTTTTCTGCAGCAGCTCGAGATCAGCGCAATCTGGTCTCTACCTTCACAGGTACCCATTTATACTCCTGGGTGGAGAGAGGCAATTGTAGTAAAGCATCTTGCCCAAGAACACAAGCACCATGTTCCCCGTCAGGGTTCGAACCCACGTACCATGGAACATGAGTCAAACACCGTAACCACTGGACCACGGCACTCCACATGATTGGATGGTTTCCAGATTTGAAATAGAGTCAAATTTTGAACTCATAAAAAAAAAAGGAACTTAAGACGACAAGTCACAGCAAGCCTTGTAAAGCTGGTCCCAGAGTGCACATACGTTGTGTTCAATTCGGGTGATTCACAATGCAGTGCGCCACCAAGAGTTTGCCACGGAGAGTTCATTTCTCCCAGTGCATTGTGGGAGACGGTCGATGAATTCACAGCGCGGGACATTTGAAATTGTTTGTTTTTCCAGTCAGTAGTTTTGCAAGCGTATGATTCGAGTATCTGTTTGCCCTTTTCTTTTCTTTTTATCAATATGTTTTTTTTTTGTAAGGTGGCAGAATGCTATGCTCCAATCTATCACAGATTAGCTCAAGTTGTCTACTGACACACATTCAAATGAGCCGTGTTTTGTCGACGGTAAACTTGAAAAAAATTGACTCTCCTTGGCAAACTCTTGGTGGCGCACTGCATTGGAATCGCCCAAATTGATTCAGCATGGCTTTTCACTGTAAGTATTATGTACAAACTGGGCTGGATTTAGCCCAGCCATTGGCGTTATGGGGTAATCCTATATGATGGTACTGCCCGGCTAACAAGTGACAGTCAGTCAGTCAGTCAGGCAGAAAGAGGACACTCGGCTTGCCCTCTGGGACCAGCACATATCCTTTTGTCCTTCTTAGTGTCCGCATCAATAGATGAACCGAATGATCAAGTGAAACTGAGAAAATGTAAGCTGGACTTTGAATTTAGAAAAGTCTATATATGAAAGTGAAATCTTGTAACCGGTGCATTCAACATGTATGTGATGAAATATTCAAAGAAATTGTGCAAGCTACTCCTACATCGTTACAATGAGGTGCCTACTGCGTGCTTTTAATGCGATGTTAAAATGAAAGGAATGTACTTCATGACATGAATGCTTGGAAGACTACGCTTGTGCATGCATCGAGGTTCCAATTTTTGAGTAGCTATTTTAAAGGCCCCATGCAATTCAACTTCTTTAATGTAATCCTTGGAAATACACTTTTGTGTCCCATTTAATCTTATTTTTCAATTTGCCACTTTCAAGGGTATTTTGGTGTCTTTTTGCATTTTATGCTAATGCAAATTTCAATATTCATGAGCAAAAGTGTGACGAGTTGTCTCAGGCAGAAATCCCAATGTTACAGCTATTTCAGCACCAAAAGTTGCTAGAATTTTGGATATTTTGCTGTCGTGAAGTTTTTCTTCAACCTTTTTAACCTCTCATGCATTTTCAATTGACAAGGGGGGGGGGGAGGCGAGGAATGGTCATGATGTGATGATGCGATGAAGATGTGAAGAATTTTCTGATAGATTTCTTCTTAACTTTTAACATCTGTGGCAGCGGCGTCACGTGAGACATACCACTTGCTCGTTGGCCTGTTTTTCTTACATGTGCTGCCAACCGAAGTGCTACGCCCTTTGGTCTTGACTTTAGGCCAAGTCTTTTCCGGCTGCCTGGTTAGAGATTTCAATTCAGATACAAATCATTTCCAACCTCTAAGATATTTTTTTAATTCATGTTTGATGTTGGTTCTTGGTGAAGTCTTGTTTTTGTTAGCATTAAATATTCCAGGAGAGACGATTGCAATCAAACAGAATGATTGTCAGCAAGAAAGTTGTAGTAAAAATGGCGGTGTCCTGACAGCTCGGTTTACGTCCAACGTTTCTGGCTTAGCTCAGATTGTTCACATGCTGCAACTTGACACGGTGCATAAAGAGAGAGTTAAGAGGGAGTGGACCACATTGTTGCTGTATGCCCGTCGCTAACATAAAGACGGAAGGGTTTACGCACTTTTTAGAGTAAAACAATCGTGCGTGCTTCACGCCACATGCAGGCAAACCACGGAATCCCGAGGCAAAGTAAAGAAAAATACAAAACCCAGAAGTTACAGACTGATCATCATCAAGGCTGTGATTTGAGGTGACTCGCACATGTACTAGCATGTTTGTTTATGGCGTAAATCGAGGATTTTCCTTTGTTCCTCTTCAGTTTTCCTTTGTTTGTAATTCAACTTTTTCATTGGTTTTGTACACGTTTTCTAATTGAGGTCGTCCTCGATTTGGTGTCTGTTCTCGATTCACCGATGATGTTGCACGTGTGTGTCCTCGATTTACATCATGAACAAACGCCGGTACGTGTACACCCAGCCTCGACTCCATGGGCGCGTGCGCGTTCCTTACACTGATGACGTAATGACGCTGATTGGCTATTCAGAGCGTACTGCGCGCGCATTTCGAAGATTGCACACCGGGCGCGCCCATAATGCGCTCGCGTGCTTTGCACGTAACGTCATGTACGAAAAAAAATTTGTTATTCAAAAGTCACAATGCCTGTACGACATGGATTATGGCAGCCTCGTTTTTCGCTAAAAAAAACCCCTGTATCTGCGGTTGTAAAGGCACGAAAGGGGTACGTACATTTAATACAAATCATTGCTAAATAACACAACGTCCAAACATTATGTTTGAAAGGATTGATTCTTCAAAATCACAACTTATAACATTTTAAAGATGGCGTCGGCACGTAAAACGGATAAACTGCAGCCTAATTATAATGTGCCATATTTTGACACGTTTAAATTACACAATTCCAGGGGTTACGATCGCGCAAGGCATGATGGGAAACAACATGGCGCAGCAAGATCGTACCCACGGGGCACGAGGTTGGTGTACACCCAAGTGTACGCGGGCTGGGACTTTGACATGGGTGCAGTGCGTGAATATGTAATGCAGGGTGTATACATACAGAGGACTTGGTCATGTGTGTGATCAGATGGATCTGGGTTTCGTCGTGTGTTTGGAGTCGGCCGGATAATAAGTTATACACGTGTAACTATGGCCAGCGATGCGCGCACGATGATGCAGCACATGCACAGCCTTGCATTCAAGGCTACTGGCTATGTGGCGCACAATGATTTCGATATATTTTCTTCGGAAACTCGGGCGTGGAGGGAAACTGTTTATACCTTTTTTGTTGTGCGTCTTCTGTGCTCACGTCCAATGCTTCGTACAGCTCCTCGCTTTCCTGTTAAAAATCAATAATTGTATAAAACGTTTTTCATTTACAATTACACGAGATATCTGTGTCTCTGGATAAGGCCAAAAAAAAAAAATTCTCCTGTTTCTGGTATGGAGCTTGCCCAAAAAGTGGTGCAGCGACGCGGCTTTTTTTTTTTTTTTACCTGATTTTTTTGCTTCAAATGTCGGCTGATGACTGCAAATGGTGCCCGACTAAACTTAGTGCAAATATATGGGAGTCCAGAGAGGCCACATAAAGCTTATTCTCGACCATAACCCAATCTAAAAACACGTTAAAATTGTGCAGCAGCAGGATTCCAGTCAAACCATTGAGTTTGGCGGTTTTGAGACATCATCTTTCATTGAAAAAAAAACCTTTTTCATTTTGCCGACGCGCATGGCTACGGCAATACGCGCGTGCATACCAGAAACCGGAGACTTTTTTGGGGCGCCTAAAGGATCAGTTGGTATGTAACACTCATTTAGGAAAAACTGGTTAAACCCTGTACTATATTGTTTTACATTGGTATATTCCTTTTTTGAATGAATAAAACCACACAGTGTTGGGATGGTTTGGGGAAGTTTGGGGATGAACAGGCAGGGTGGTTTTGGGCAATACTGTAAATAATGGGATAAGCAATTAAAAGGATTACCGGGCCAACTTTATATTTCGGGTGAGATTGGCAAATTACAGCGGCCTATTTTGTTGAATTGAAAAACCACTGGGGGGGGGGGGGGGGGGGGACCACTCCCCTCCCCCTAGATCCACTACTGGCTCACATGTTTAATGGGGAGAGTTTATAAGATACAGTAGGATATGTCTCGCCTGGATAGGTCTCCTGAGCCATCAGCGTGCCTGCATTCGACGTGGACAACCTTCTTAATCTTTTCGAGAAGCCAAGCCATGAGTTAAAGATACACCATGTGGAATATTTATCTTTAAAAGAGTTCTTTCGCTCGAAAAAATATTGCCTATTCACATCCATCTGTCTTACCCCTTCTAATGAGACATCATCGTAGATTTCTTGTGGTCCATCATCGGGCCCACTGGTCTGGGCTATGGTTGGGATGCTCAGGCATGCTGGTAGCGGGGGTAACGGCGCCGATGGCACCACTAAAGGGGAAAATAAGACAACATAGAAATGTCTAGGTTATCACAAGTCCTCACGAGTCCCAAAATGTCCTAGAGAATCCATAACATAAGTCATAACAGTGTGGGGCGCTGTGGTCCAATGGTTAGGGTGTTCGACTCATAATATGCTGTTGTCCATGTACGTGGGTTCGAACCCTGACGGGGAACATGGTGCTTGTGTTCTTGGGCAAGTCACTTTACTAAAATTGCCTCTCTCTTTAAATTAAAGTGGGGCCTCCATGAAAACAGGTATTGAATTTTACTTGACTCAGGGTTAAAAATAAAAAAATAAAGTCAACTAAAAAGATAATAAATTATTACCAACGGCATACATCTCTGCATAGTGAGCAATAACGTGAATGAAACTGACTGTACAATACACACAACAAGACCTTTTCAACCTTAGATGAGTAAAGACAAATATACATGTATGTACAGTTTACAAAAAAAAAACACAACAAGGAAGCAATACCATAAATTGAAACTCCACTCAATGCTGAAAGTTACCGGTACAAGCTACATGTGACCTACATGTAAGGCCAAAAAAAAAAAAGTCTCCGGTTTCTGGTATGCGCGCGCGTCGCCGTAGCCATGCGCGTCGGCAAAATGAAAAAGGTTTTTTTTTAATAAAAGATGATGTCTCAAAACCGCTAAACTCACTGGTTTGACTGGAATCCTGCTGCTGCACAATTTTAACGTGTTTTTAGATGGGGTTATGATCGAGAATAAGCTTTATGTGGCCTCTCTGGACTCCCATATATTTGTACTAAGTTTAGTCGGGCACCATTTGCAGTCATCAGTCGACATTTGAAGTAAAAAAGTCAGGTAAAAAAAAAAAAAAAAGCCGCGTTGCCGCACCACTTTTTGGACAAGCTCCATACCAGAAACCGGAGACTTTTTTTTTTTGGCCTAAGCTTGGCCTTTCTGTTCTGTTCCAATCATCACAGCTCCGACAATGGGTTCATGCAAAGGTAACAATGCATAATGAGTACCAGTACTTCCTTTTGCAGGAAAAATGAATCAAATGTTTGTATTTCTATTGTAGAATTCATGTGTAAATGTTTGTTTTATTGGTTGCTAAGATATGGAAAATGGCAACGAATGATGTCAGAAATAGCACTGCCTGCTTTTTTTTTCTTTCTAAAATAGCTTGACCTTATACGGAACATGGCATTTATGATGGACCCAGTGCTTAAGAGATGCATGCAATGTTTTTAAAGGCAGAATATTGGCCTATCATTTATTTGTGCATGTTTTTCGTTTGAAGCAACAAAGGTGCTCAAAATCTAAAGAAAGGTGCTTAAGAACTAATCTGATTAACTTTTAGCTCAGTGAATGCTGTATATTCCAAGAAAAACAATATTCTAGGATCCTGATTTCAATTCAAAACTTGCCGAGTCATGTTTTAAATTGTGCCTGAAATCAACATCTGGAACACATTCTCATTCAGCCTACTGCAGCTATGCGATGTCACACGCTGAACAGACAAATAATAGCAACCGCACCTGCATTTGCTCGCGCACACACCCACTCATGGGTTCGCCGAATTAAAACAATTGCAAAATTTGGCTTTAGACGTATCTTTGGAAATGACGTCAGAAAGAATAATTTCACAGGGAGTTTAGTGCCATTACTATCTTTAAACCAAGTATGCTTTTCACCAATAATTTTGTCAGTTACTTTTTGGATAGCTGCAAATGATGTACTCTACTTTTAGTGCAGCCCTTGAAAATGTACTTTTTTTTATCCCATTTAACCTTATTTTGAACTTTTGTTTTACTATTTTCAAGGGTATTTTGGTGCCTTTTTGCTTTTAATACTAATGTGAAATGAACAAAAGTGTGATGTCATTTCAGGAAGAAATCTCAATGTTACAGCTATTTCAGCACCAAAAGTTGCCAGAATTTTGGATATTTTGCTGTTGTAAATTTTCTGTGCCTTCCACTGAACAGTGTCTTCCTGAAAATGACATCACAGCAACAGCACCCTCAGTTATCCAAAAAACATGGATAATTTTTTTAAATGTCTAAAGTAGTGCAATTGTCAGTAAAGTTAACCAAATTATTAGGACGTCAAATAGTTTAAAACACATTTAAGACTTAGAAACTTGAACAACAGATATTTTCTTAAGAAAAAAAAAAAAAACAGCATTGCTGTTGAAACCCCTCAGCCAGAGTCAAGTTATCATCCGACAACCATTAACCTTTAACTCAACATGGTGACCTTGACCTTTGGCCTTTGACCCCAGAACCAGTCCCAACTTGCCTGTACCCAAGGGCAACCCCCTACCTAAGTCAGACACCAAAATCTCATTTCTAACTAAAGTTAGCATCCGGAAACCATTTACATTTAACTCACCACGGTGACCTTGACTTTTGACCTTTTGACCCCAAAACCAATCCCAACTTGCCTGTACCCAAGGGCAACCCCCTACCTAAGTCAGACACCAAAATCTCATTTCTAACTCAAGTTAGCATCCGGAAACCATTTACATTTAACTCACCACGGTGACCTTGAATTTTGACCTTTTGACCCCAAAACCAATCCCAACTTGCCTACTCCCAAGGGCAACCCTCTACCAAAGTTAGACACCAAAATCTCATTTCTAACTCAAGTTATCATCCGGAAACCATTTACATTTAACTCACCACGGGGACCTTGACCTTTGACCTTTTGACCCCAAAACCAATCCCAACTTGCCTACTCCCAAGGGCAACCCCCTACCAAAGTTAGACATCAAAATCTCCTTTCTAACTCAAGTTATCATCCGGAAACCATTTACCTTTAACTCACCACGGTGACCTTGACCTTTGACCTTTTGACCTCAAAACCAATCTCAACTTGCCTACTCCCAAGGGCAACCCCCTACTGAAGTTACAACCCCAAACAACATTTCTAACTCAAGTTATCATCCGGAAACTAAGCTGCCCGGACGGACGGACGGACGGACGGACGGACGTTCCAGCCAGACGGAATTGTGGGGTGATAGCATTGTGTTCCCATTATCCCTTTTTCTAAAGATTCCCTTCTGGGTAGATGTTTTTCTATTGTGAAAATAGTGGGGTGATGTGTCCTGAAAGGAACATCACCCCACAAGGGTGGTATGGTCAGAACGCACTGACATACGGACGGACGGACGGACGCCCTAGGCGATGACAATGCCCCTCGAGCCTCTCGGCTGAGGGGTAAAAAAGCATTGCATGGACCCTTGAATGTTTGCTTTGAATATTAAACTGAGATGGAAGAGATAACCACAGACAGGACATGGCAGGGTCATGAAGACAAACACGGAAGGAAGCTGGCCCAACACGTACAAAACAATCCTTGATCTTAGTTCCTTGTTAACGATTAAGCAATATGTTCGATTTACAATGCTGGTATTTCGAACTGAAGCCTGAAACATACATGCACTGGCTATTTCCTTGTCATTTCTAGGATTCATTGGAACATTTTATATTACCTTTTTTTTCTTTAATTGTTTTTACAGAAGTAAATCAACAAGATTTGTAGGAAAAGTCCCATACCCATGTCATGAACGTACAATAATCCTACCGGAGTTTTACACTCTTTATCCCATACGGTTCAAATCAAAAGGTTTCAGGGTAATAGCTCAAAGTCTGCCACATTTATTAAATCATGTCTGCTTCAGTTCAATAGGATTTCAACCCTTCTCAGTTACTGCCTAGCTACATGTATTATTATGGTACTTGATCTTTGCCTTTAGAAGCTCTGACATACACCACATGTAGACAGTACAGGGTTACTCCCAAAAAAGTGTGCAAGCAGATCAAATTTGATGGAGCGTATTAGTTATACTCTTGTGTATTTTCTGTGAAAATGTCATGCAAACCAGAGCTGTAGGCTTACCAGATTATAAATGGATGTGTGTGTTTTTCAAACCATTCCAACAGGAAAATTTACACATTGCATTGGAAATCGCTCAACCTGCACTCTGCAATGGTGCTTTTCATTAACTGTGTAACTCACATTGGAACGGGTGAAAAACACATTGCCACTGATAATCTGTTGTATCTCTGGTTTGCATGAATGGATTTTCATCAAATTTTCGCTGTGAATGCACAAGAATACAAACAATATAGGCTCCGTGCGCCAACAAAAGAGAGCGTGTTTTTACCGCTTTTGTACCGCATTGTACATGTACATGTTTAATGTTTCAGTCCAGTTGCTGACTTAACTCGTAAATTGTTGATTTAAACAAGCACATTTTTACGCATGTATGTTTACACTTACCAGAACACATGTGTATTCTCCAGGGTAAAATGACAACAAATGAAAGGGAAACACCTTTCTTCATTTCCTGTAAGAAGTATCGTATTGTGTTTTTACAGCTATTTACTTTCAATAGTCCTATTTCAATTTCTGGCTTTGACTCCCAGTTAACTTTAAAACATACTTTATTATCACAAAAAGGACTTGGTCTGGAACATTTTCAGAAATATTTTACCCACTGTTGATAGCAATCACTAGGGCTGTGCATTGGAACCGGGTCCCCGGGTACCCGAGTACCCGACCGCTGATGTCAGGAACCGGTTCCAGATTATGGGATCGGGTACCCGTAACCAACTTTACAAATTACTTAGTAACTTCTTAGACAATGACAAATAAAGCTTTTTAATGTCATTTGTGGAGAATTTTCAGAATGAAAACCAGGCTACATTGATAAACAAAACAATTCAAGTTGCATGTATTTAGCTCACTGTACACACTTGTATCTTGCTGTATTGACGTACCGATGCGGTAGTATAGTGGAACGTCGCTATACCAAACACCGCTATAACGAACATTCGGCTATACCTAACATCGTCCTTGGCTTCCGTTTTTTTGTGTACAAAATGTACCGAACATTGTTGTTGAAAACTGTTAACATAAGAGTGACAAGTGGCTATTATTTCCCCAAGGAATAGAAAGGAAAAGCCACCCACTGCTGTAGGTAGTAAGCTCAAAACTTGTCTAATGACATAATTCAATAGTCGGCACGAGTTCAAAGTCGTCTTTCAGTAACTACCACGGCATGTAGGATGAAGTTATGAAGGGCGCTATTTGTTGAAAGTGAGTACCGGAGCACCGGCAGCTTAAAATCGCTATACTGAATGATCGCTATTACGAACAATTTCTGTGGATTCTGTGATGTTCGTTTCAGCGACGTTTCACTGTATAATCGTGCGGAACTCTAGTGAACAATCTGTACAGCGACTTGTGAGATTTAAATTTTGGGGTTGGGTTTCTTTAACGGTAACCTGGGTAGTTCCCGGGTACTCGCGTTTTTTTTCTTCAATCGGATACCTGATTCCTGTACTACCAGTAAACGCCTGCACCTCCAACAATCACGGAGGGAAAGCAACAATAGCAAAAAGTCATGAATGACTGAGATTTCTTTGAAAGGGTTGAACAAAATGAATTCATGGAATGGTTTTGAAATAACTCCATTTGCCCTCGAACTACACCCCCTGGAAGAGTAGTTGGAGTAGTATGTATGCACACACATGTATGTCATTGTACTTTTACATGTGCTACAGGTTAATCAAAATGAAAGTTTCGAATCCGATATTCCCATCTGTTTTCCAGGCTATCGTTGTGATGAATACAAAGCCTCATCTGGCCCGGCAACCACAACATAGCCTGGAAACCAACCACCCAAAGAGGATATTTCACAACTAGAGGTGAATATAGCGTAATCCGCCATCAGAGTGCCCACTAATTGGCTGTCACGCGGTCACACATACGTCAAAGGTGACCGTGTTAATACAGTGTCAGTCTGCAAATCAACAAGGTCAGGCCACATCCTCTCTTGTCAAATAAAATGTAAAAAACAAAATACTGTCTATACGTTTAACTCTTTCAGTGCCAAACTCGTACATGTACGAGGTATATTTGCTAGTACAAAAGCGCCAACCTCGTACATGTACATGTACGAGGTTATGTTCGTAAATGTTCGTACTTAAAATTGCCAAACCTCGTACATGTGCGAGGTAGAGTAAATATGTTATCAAAAGGGGGCACTCTCGCTCTTTCTAATGGTACCATTTTCATGCATGTACCGTACGACCTGTATTTATTTTTTCATTCGAGTTCTTGCGAGAGGGCGCAGCACTAAATCTCGTATTTTCTGCAAAAAGTGCGGAATTCCCCTGTGTTCAGGCCAGTGTTTCAGGGTGTATCACTATATTTGTGACTACTTTTGACTTTCCAATATATCAAGGATATACCAGAGAGCAACAACAACAAATGTAGTGAGTAAAACTTATTTACTTTTTTTTAAAAGAATTTCGAACAATTAACAAAAACGCTCGAAGTTGGGCACTTTAGGGTTAAACTTTTCAAATTTTGCGGGCACTGAAAGAGTTAATGACATATTTTCACAGGACAGGCATTGGAGTTACTGTGTGGACGTGTGAATAAAAGAGGTCCACACGATGGAAGAGCTTAAGATGATGTACATGTACGTGGACTTGCACAGGTCCGCACACAAATGTTTAGGCTACATACCAAGTGTGGACATTCTTTTGTTTTTGTGTAGTTAAGAAAAACCTGTGAAGAAAACTCATTTTACTCACACTGTGAAAACTCTTTCAACCCAAATTCTTTTCTACGATTCCCTTTAGAGTTTCTCTTCATTTTGCCACAGATAAACCTAACCCCAAAATGCCTCTAAACCCGTTTTCCAGAGAGGGGGAAACACTGTGTGGACGTGGGCAAGTCCACACAACGTCGCTGCTACCTGGTTTATGTGGACATCTTTTGTTCGGAAGTCCACACAGTGAATGCTATGCTTGTACAGAATTTTCCACTTTCTTAAAAACAGTGCTTCACAATTTCCACCTCTATTCATCAGGCAATGAGACCAGCTCTTCTGCAGCAGCTCGAGATCAGCGCAATCTGGTCTCTACCTTCACAGGTACCCATTTATACTCCTGGGTGGAGAGAGGCAATTATAATAAAGTGTCCTGCCCAAGGAAAACAAGCACCGTGCTCCCTGTCAGGGTTTGAACCATTGTGCCATAGCACATGAGTCGAAGCCGCAACTATTGGTCCACAGCATCTATGAAAAGTTTATCATCCGGTATCAAGTTTCGAACCGAAAAAAGAAAGAAAAAAAGAATTATACATACCCTCCGTGTCATCATATATATCATCTCCTGTTTCCTCATCAGAATCCATGGTCGGGCTGTACGAAAAAGGAAAAAATACAACGCACCCTCAAATTTACTCAAATTTCAGAGATTTTGGCATTTTTTTTTTTTTTTTTCTGAGAAACATTTGTCAAATCATAAGGACAAACTTCCTGTCTCCTAAACCAGGGCCAATTATTTTTCTACTGAAGCATTAAATGGGCAAAATGAAGAAATGACGAAATTTCTCTTTTTAAAAAAATAATTCAACTTTTGCAGCCAATTTGTGAAACAATAAAATATTCTTTTGAACAAATGCAAGTATACAAAGGTACTATAAATTATCCCCCAAAATTTGCATCCTCTGGAATTTGCTCTTTTAGTAATAATTTTTTTAAAGAATCACCTCAATTAAAAGAAAATATATCAAAATATCTGGAAAAAAAAAATCTGTTTAAAATTTGCCTACAGTTTCTGAAAATGTTCTCAGCAATTTTCCTCTCACCAAAAAATATACTCCCAAACTTTGGGTCTTGGTTGAAGCTGATATTCTGACTTCCTATTGCAATAAAACTTGGAAAGATATTCTTTTTTAAATTCGTCTACCTTTGGTGGCAATTTTGTAGAAATAACCATTCACGCTGTGTTACCAAAAATAACCTCCCATCTTTTAGTTTATAAGTTATTTTTAAATCCCGAAAAGCTCTTGAAATCTTCACTTCCTGACGTGAACGGCATATTTGAGATTCATTATGCGTGCCACACAATGATGGGAATGGCAACTGGTACATATATGTCATCTCTCCGACGCTAATTTTTTCCTTCTCAGAACAAGTTTGGTTGCGGTACCCGCTGCTATATCAGACTCGAACCAGCCAGCCAGCCCCAGCAAGCTCAGTGGTTGAGTGGTAAGTTGTCTACTCTAGCAAGCAGCAGGTCGTGGGTTCGAGTCCCACCCAGGTAAGCTTGTGAATTTTTTCTCGCAAGCCCTTGGACAACACTGAGTATAAAGTGTTTATAAAATAAGTCGGTGAAGGGCAAAAACTAAATAAAATTGTACAGTCGAACACCTATATTACAAGGTCCTTGGGAGTTGGGACCTACAAATAGTGTGTTATAACAGGTACCTTGTATTATCAGTAATGGAAAACAAAGAAAAACAAAGACTTGGGACCGAAAATTGTGCTTGTTATAAGCAGGATGTTGTATTAACAGTACTCTTCTTATCAGGGTTCGACTGAAAGCGCCTTGAGATAAAAAAAAAGTCATATTGTTGAGCTTTTGATAAGTGATGTGGTTTTGTTTTGATACAGTGCTTGACATTCTGGTGGGGGGGGGAGGGGGGAAATCATAAAGAGGGGATTCAAATTAGCTTAAGGACAATGGCTGTTATAAGGGGAAATGGCGACAATGTAGAGCTACCTATGATGTAGACCGTTTTCTGCAAAAACTGTCACAAATTTATATTTCAATTTCTAGTGAATATAAAATTGCCCATTGAAGGTTATTAACACATAACCCATAACTTTTTTTTTTCACTGAGACGTTGTAAAGTCATTTTTAATGATATTGGGCAATCTAAGTCACGCAAAACTAAAATTTTCAACTTCATGAGTTTCGTGTATTCATATTTTCTTTCCAGTAAATGACAAAATTCACTTATATGTGCAGTAAATTTCCCTCCATAAAAACTTTGGGACACATCTTTAAAGGGAATATACAACATTTGCAAATATTGGAAAACAAAACTACCAAATTTTTACAAAATACCTTAATAGGATGTTGGTAAATGAAAGTCTAAAGCATCCTGTAAAATTATGGCACCTGGTGTGAAGTCATTTTCAAGAAAAGTGGTATTTTGTATACATTTCCAACCATGGGCGTCGCCAGGATTTTTTCTAGAGGGGGGCAAAAAAAAAATTTGCCAAAAAATGTTTGTATTTCTCAACACATTCTCGATTTATCAGTTTTAGAGGGGGGCAGGGACAATTTGCCCCCCCCCCCCAACTCATTAAATTTACACCACTTTGTCTTCGCGCCTCTTTTTCTTTTCTTTTTTTCTTTTCTTTTTCTTCTTCTTTTTTTTTTTTTTTTTTTTTTTTTGGCTTTTCCAGGGGGGGGCAAGTGCCCCCCCTTGCCCCCCCCTCGCGACGCCCATGTTTCCAACGGTGGTCGGCCGACCACCGTTGGAAAAACCTTACTATTTTGCAACTACTGCTCCAAATTTACCATTTATTTTCAGTCCAAATTTTGTTTGCTATTGGTTACATGTTCTTGAACGGGTGTAGGCCAACTAGACTGGTTTCCTTACCTTACAATTTTCGGGCATCAATAAATTGATTCATTTTATCTTTAGTGGAGTCAGGGAACCAGACTACTTGAACATTTTTGTTTTTCTTGGTTTTTCCAACCTTTTCGAAGACAAAACTTCACAAATGTCAGTGTAACAATATTTGATCTCTTGTACTAGCCCCTCAAATAGTTCATTTCTGAAAATTACAGCAAAAGCCAAAGATGTACATTCCCTTTAAAGAGGTTGTGGAATGCTCGAAGACATTTCCGTCGTTCTTCGGGTATATGTAGCCTAAGGTGTGATGAAATAAAAACGACTATTGTTACTGTCATAAAATGAGTACAAAAGGTACTTTTGAGAGCTGTTTTTCAAGTCCTGTCATGCCTGTTTCGACCCGAACGTGCAATTTGTGTAAAAGTCGTCGTTGCGGGCAGCAAACAAAACACAGTAAATCGTGACGTAATAAACAGGACTCGTGTATGCTACTCTGCATCGGGAGTCCTGTTTATTACGTCACGATTTACTGTGTTTTGTTTGCTGCCCGCAACGACGACTTTTACACAAATTGCACGTTCGGGTCGAAACAGGACCTGAAAAATAGCTCTCAAAAGTACCCTTTGTACTCATTTCATGACAGAAACAATAGTCGGTTTTATTACATCACACCTTAGGCTACATATACCCAAAAAATGACGGAAATGTTTTCGAGCATTCCTCTGAGGGTAGTTTACTGCATGTCAGTTGGTTATGCCAATGCCCTCCAGCTGCAGTTTATTGGAGGATACTTTGATGTAGCAGTGAAGGCTCCAATTGGCAGGAGTTGGAGGCCCTGGAGGGTGCCTGATACTGACCAGCTGGGGGGCACTTGATTGTTATCAGAGGACTCTCATTGTTCTCTGTGGCATGTATTGGAGTGCCTGTCCAGTTACCCTTGAAATGACATGGCAGATATTGGAGGGCCATGCAAAAAACATAGGAGATTTTCTTGAGGCACATACTGGCATGCGTTGGAGGGTCTAGTAGGGTAAGGGTTAATCTACATGCACATGCACATAGTTGGTGTACCAGTACAATGCTCCTTTTTTTTCCAAACAGGCCCCTTTTTATCAGACAGAAAAAACCTCTTCTGGCTAGATAAGCTTATCACACTAGTTAAACAAGGTTTACAATATTGAATATAACAGTTAATCTCTTTTACAGTGGCGTCATAAGCCAGTGGCAGTGCACAACCCAATTGCCATGCCTATATGCAGGGTCTATGCATAGGATCCCAGCCTGTACTGCCAGGCACTGTGTGTATAGTTGATTGGGTGACTGCACAATGTGAATGGACAATAATTGGGGCCAGGAGTGGCCAGTGTAGGGAATTCCCCTAACGATCACGCATTTCACAATGGACTGGAGGTCAGTTCCTGTGTGCGTGTGCTGTGTGTGCCTGAGTAAATCAATCGCTTCACAGACCAGGATGTAAAGTTTGGACTTTTAGAAAACTATTTAGTAAAAAAAATTGTATTACAAAATAAGCATATGAATTGTCACTGTAAAGTTAGTTCTGACTTGTGGAACGAAGCCACTATACTATACATAGATCTGTAATATTACAATTTTCCTATTCAATGCGGTGACACAATTTCAGGTGGTTATTAGACAATTGTTATGTTTCATTCTACAAGTTCAAATCTAGAATTCCTACTTTTTAAAAATCTAATTACAAAGTAGGCCTACTTCAAGACATTGTTATATTTAGCATGTCTACTCTTAATAAACTTCAAATGATGTAAAAGTTAGCAGGGCCAACGTTTCAGTTGTGTATTAAAACGATAGCAAACAAAATGTGGATTTTTAACTTAATTGGTAACTTTCGGCAGTATTTGAAGAAAAAAGTCATTTTTTTCCAATGATGGTCGGCCGACAATCGTCGAAAATTGAAACATAAATTCTACTTTTCTTGAAAATGAAAGAACACCACGTTCCATGATTTCACTGGACGCTGGAGACTATTATTCACTTACAGTCAAGTAAGCTATTTCATAATAATTTGTTAGTTTTGTATTTTGATGTTTGCAAATGTTGTATGGTATATTAGCTTTAATACCCTTCCTTATAGAATTATAGAAATGTTCTTAATTTCTTGTGCTATGCTTAAATCTGCAGAGAACCGGTCGCAATAAATATACTCTGTACGCCGTTTGGCTGGTAAATAGTTTTCGCTTAGCAAATGTTTATCTGTGCTTAGAAGTCTTCTGTTGGTATAGTACTTACATGAGAGAGAATCTTTTATTTGTCTCGACAGCGACGTCATCATAAATCTCTCCCGAATCTGCCCCACTGTCGATTGGCTCAGGATTTGCTGACGGAGGCATTGCTATGGTAACAGGGAAGAGTAAAATGTCAGCCATTACTCTATTCTCCCCCCCCCCCCCGTCCCAAAATAAATTATACGCAACACAACCTGTGTAAATATTTTCCTAACTAAAACTTCCAAAAAATACCAGGTTTTCGATTTATGTCAATTTTGCGATTCATTTCAATTCTTCCAAAGTCTTTCAAGGAATTACAAGAAACAGATATAATTTCAGAGCGTTCTGAACACCCGTACAAAAGATTTGCAAGTTTGTTACTTTATATCCTTGGTCCAAAAATTGGAATTTCGACTCCAATCAACATTATTAACAATTTTAAGATATGAGATTCAGGCACTATGTCCTGCCAAAGGACACAACGCTGCTGTTAAATATAGTAACAAGGAGCGTGTGAACATGAACTCACCTGCTGACTTGGGTAGCTTCACGTTGACAGGCTTAGCCGGTTTCCTGGGAGCGGGTCCTATAGTTTCTAACGGAGGCAAGATCTCAAGAATTGGTTTCTGGTTGTCGCCAGTCGTCTTCTGACTTGTTGCCGAGCCCCTCCGAGGGATGGATGAATCACTGGTGAAGGACGATAAAGAGGAACAGTCGCCTTCCGATTTGGAGGTGGAGATGTTCTCTTTGGAAGAAGTGTCCATCTCATCGGTTCCTTGGGAGGGCGGGGCTGTTTTCTGGTGGAGGGATGGCGTCGTTCTAGTGGGAGGCGCTACAGGTGACTTCTTGAGTGACCTCTTGAAGTCCACTCTGGGTTCGGATTGGGATGTGGTCGGCGACGGGGCGGGGACTGGCGCCTTCTTCAGCATATTCCTCATGTTCAGGATCTCCGCCATGTTGGTTCCCGGCATCACCGGTCCCCCTACGGGAGCTTTCGCTGGTGCCGCTGCAGGCTTGGGCGAGTCCCTTTTAAGGGAGTCCTTACTGGGCGACTTGACGGCACCATTGGAGGGTTTCTCAAACCGAGGCGAGCGGACGTTAGGACCGATGATTTTGATGCTGCTGTTGAGGTCAAGTTTGCCGGGGGGTTTGGCCAGGACGGACGGTTTTGAACCGACTGTCGGTTTGGCAGCGACAGCAGGGCGCGCCATACCAGCACTCTGGTTGGGCTGGTTGAACATGGAAGCAATATTCTTTACAGAATTTTCCTACCAAAAAAAAAAAAATTAATGAGATTTCCACATAACAATTCAAGTATAATGCCAGCAACATCAAGAATTTTGTAAATTACAAGCCATGCTTAAACAAAACCACTACCTATGTACGAAAAGCCGATTTTTCTTAAAATTTTGTTAAAATAAACAAATTGAAAACGATGTTTGTATGTAGATTATATTTTCATTTATTTTGCATGTCCAAGACACATTATGTATGTAAATGAAATTAAAAGGAAGAGAGAATGATAAAAAGTTGTTAGTCTGTTCTTAATCATTGTTTATCATGAGGTAAGTACACAAAATAATAACACTTAGTGATGGCAAATAAAAGTATGCGTACTGCATACATGTACAGCCCTTTTTATCTGTCCGACCCAACCCCCAAAATGAAAATGTTGAACTCAAATCACATAAAAAAAAAAAAAAATCCTAACAAATGTTCAAGTTTTATGCTCTGTTTCAACAAAAAAACTATTCATTCTGTGCGCAATGAACCCGCCCTGCTAGAGCCGACTTATTGTCTGGCAGCCAATGCCTTGAATTTTGTGAAGAAATAATTTGATATAAAAGTCGGTGGATTTTTTCAAATCTATGTTTTGAGGTGAAACGCCAACGTAGCATGGGGAATCATCTTTCAAGCCGGCCTCAGGTCGACGCACGATTTGCTTGCGCCACGATGCAGAAAAATAATACTCAGGTCACAAAACTGAGAAATTGTCTGATTCTCTTGAACAAGTGGCATCCCAACGTAAAATAATCGCAACCATGCTCATGTCACCCTCGACGCGACGATCCACCACGATTTCATAGCATAGACAGCCATGTGACTTCTTTACCAATAAGGGAGTAAATGTGTTTGGCCGGTTCGGCTCGAGGCATTATCAGCGCCCATTCCCCTGATACGGTCTTACATGTACTTGCGGTATTCCCATTCACAAATACCTTTGAGTCAAAAAGTCGAGACAAGTAAAAAATAATACATTTCCAAAGATTTTGTTGAACAGTTTTATTTCATTTTTTAAACACCCCTCTAAGCTATGGTATGGAATATCCTCTCGCGAGTAGGTAAACAATCTCCTTATATGGTGATTGACGCGCGTGCATGATGCGTTCTGCGTGATTGACGCGCGGAGCGCCAGTGTTGTGTGCTGATTGGCTAAACAATTGAAAAGGATGCGCACACGATCGCGACATCGTCGTAAAAGTTGAAATTTTTCTACTCTTGCGACTGTTGATTTTTTTTAGCGCCGACTAATTCCGATCGTCTTAATATCGTCGCAGTTATACTCAGGTCGCACAAAATCGGCGACTGAAATGTTCCCTACAGTCGTAGCTCAGACGCAGCTTGATCCTGAAAAGTCAGTCGCCGACTGATCTGTGTCGTCGCAAGGTCGACCTGAGGCCGGCTTTAAGCAACAAAAATCACATTATATGGAATACTCTTTTTGGGACATTACACTTGATACCATTCACTCTTTTCACGAACCAGCTATATTCATTGTGTAAAGTTGCCAGATCGAGGCTCTGCATGCTTATGGCGGAGCGTGCAAAGAGCGAATTGGAAACTTTTCCTGATGAATTTCACAACTGGGCGTTCCAGTGTGAGGATTCCTTTGGGATTTTCCCCAATATTTTCGGAATTTAGGCAAGGCCCTTGGGAAAGGTTCACCAGACTTAGGGATTCCTAGGTGAGCAAAGTACTCATAAAAATAGGATATTTGCTGCTATTTTGGTAAGCACCATCGATATATCGATATTACTATATTATTCGATATTATTTTTATAATGATATCGCCGACAGCAATTTTTTAATCATATTGAAAATATTGAAATTCTGGATATTGAGGAATGATATCGAAAATGCCTCAGATTATCATCATAATAAAATTCCTGTTTGTGCTTTACTTTGTGTTTAACGTTTGCTGTATAATGAAATAAAATTCGGGGGCAACTTGCGCTTGTGACTCAAATTAAAAACATTGCGAAATGCCAAGAGGCGTCGCTTTGTGCTCTGCATTCGCTGGAATTCGTGCTCTCCCCAATGTAAAACCTCAAAAGAAACAGCCCGTTCTGGACAAACTGTCAGTGCTAAGATTTGTTTTTAAAAAGTTTGAGCAATATGCTCTAGAGAAAGCCGTGGAAAGTTGGGACTTAAAATTGGTTTATTTTTGTTTTAATCAAAGTGTCATCTTTATGGTAAGTTTTACATGGGATAATCGATATATTGAATATTCTCAATATAGGATTCCGATATACTGATTACTGAAAATTCTGATATCGACGGAACTTATAATTTGGCACATCTTGGGAAATCTTTGGAATTTTTCTATCGTCATCTTGGGATTTTCAAATTAAATGAGTTGCGAAGTTGACTGGGCCTGCTTCTCTAGTTAATTTGAGCAGAGCTGTGAGAGTGCCTACAAAAACAGTTAAACAACATGCCCTATGGAATGTTCAAAATATATCTTTTGGAAACAGTCCGGCAATTAGTTCCATGCTTACCGTCATCTTGCTTGCTAAGCGTTTCTGCTTACTGCATAACTGAGCATCGGATTAATATCCAGCTTAGTCACCGCTTTTAAGATGAATGAAGGTTTCTGCTATCTAAGCTACAAACACATGGCAAATAAAAATAACACAAAAATGGCTACGGATATATAACCATAGCGATAGCATGAGAGTGGATGGAAACGTGTTAACATTAGTTTGAAAATTAAAAACCAGAAATGCTGAGAAATACGCAAACATTGAAATCACTTCCTATCCACTATGCAACAAATAAAAACCAGAAATCTTGATAAACCTGATAAAATTGGCACAGGAATTTCGGCTGGACATAAACAATCCTCTAGTCAACTTATGTCGTTGTTTATCAAGACTCCAGTCTGATGCCTTTTTTCAATGCATGCAGATTTTTGTTGCCGAAAACAAAAAGACTACTGCCATTAATGTAGCAAAGTCTAGCTCCCTGATACCAACCTGAACACAACAGAGTTCCCGCATATGCTCCATGAACTATTGTGTATGGCCAGCAGAACAACAAAATGGGCAAAATTATTCTCAGTGTGTCGTTATCAAATTATCAAGATGACAAGAAAAAAGCACATGAACTTGATACTGATGATACAGGATGCTTGTTCTGAAGAGCTACGAAGCAGACTTTGCAAAGCTGATGTGAAAAGTGCTGACCTACACGTATACATACTTCCTGCCAAAGGACAGTGACTGTGTAAAAAATTATGTGTTCCTGTAGATTTTCATACAGTTACACATGACATTTTTTTTTTGGTGTTTTTTTTTTTGGGGGGGGGGGTTCTTTCTTATCTGAATCATATTTTAAAGATGTAGTCCATCATTTGTAATTTGTGCATTTTGTTCGTTTGAAGCAACAAACGTGCTCAAGAAGGGTACCTCACAACTAACTTGTTGAAATTTCAGCTCAGCTTCAGCTGTATATTCCGAGAAAAACAGCATTCTAGGATCTCAATTTCAAATCAAAAGTTGCTGAATCATGTTTTGAATGGCGCCTGAATTCAGCGTCCGAGACACGTTCTCGCTAAGCCGATTGCAGCTACGCGATGTCGCGCACTGATCCGACCAATTATAGCAACCGGGAGTGCGTGTGCGTCGTGCCAATGCTTGCGCGCACTTCACCGAATAACAAAACGAACTACTAATTTAAAATTCCTTCAGTGCGTCTTAAGAAGCACCGTTGGAAAGGCCTTCTTTCGTTGATTATTTCAAAATGACAGCTTGCCAGAAAGAATAATTTCACAGGGAGTTTAGTCCCCTTACTATCTTTCAACCAAGTATGTTTTTCAACAATAATTACGTCAGTTACTTTTCGGATAGCTGCAAATGATGGACTATAGCTTTAAATCCGGAGGCATAGGCCTATACATCATCAGCAGACCTTGCAATTTTCCATAGGGGGTGGGGAGGAGGGGGTCATCCAGTGGATGTCAGAATAATGTCAAAAACAATAAGCGGTTTCCGGGTGGGGTGGGGGGGGGGGTGGTGGGTGGGGTGTTAGGTGGGGTGGGGGGGGGGGGTATTCTTCGGCGGCCAAATGGGAGTGCCCGCCCCCCCCCCCAAATCCGCCGGTGATAAATGTATTACGGATCATTTGTATATCATTCAATTTCACATAATTTCATGTGGATGAAGCAATTTCTATTAGGATGAAATTCTAAAGTTTTTTTTAATGTGAACTGCACGTCTAAACTCTGCCAAGTGTACGGGTGATTTTTTATATGGAAATGGAACCAAATAAAATTGCATTGTAGGTTTATCAACATTTCTGGAAACTTTTTTGAAAAAAAAACCCACACTATCAGCAGATTTCAATGTTGATGTTTTCCTCATCTACATGTAATAGTCGTACTGTTGATTTAGTGGGTTTCTCAATGAAAACAAAACAAAATAAAAACCCGTGATTAATGAAAGCCAAGCTAATTAAAAGCGACATTTTCTAGGGGCACAACTCTCAAGATTTTCTCTGTAATCTAGTCTTTTTTTAAACACATTTTTCAGTTCATACCATGCAACTCAATGCCATTTTGCACATCAATGTACCTGCTGGGTTCTCCAAGCTAATTTATGTGCCTATCAATTGTTTCCCCCACCCCTCCCCCCCCCCCCCCCCCTCCTTAATGATTTTGTGGCGGTCATTGGGTGAAAGCTAAAACTTAAATAGGAGACTAAAATGTCTTTTGGGATACAATTTTTCTTTTTAATAAACTTGACGGACTCATTAGCATTTACAATTGTTTTTTTTTAATGACCACTCATAAGGACTGCATTCAAGCCAGCCTGACTAAATCTTTAACCCATCGGCTGTAGGTAGCAAATACATTTTCGTTCTCACAAAGTACACAATGTGAAAACAAACGTGAACAAACAAGGAGACCTCGGAACACAAATGCCGGATGTGAAAGGTCATAAGTTAAATTCGTTTTTACCCATCTCCAAGTAATTTCTCGTCATTTTTTTTCTTGAGGAATACCAAGATAAAATTCCAACATGAATGTTTCGTGGGGTAGGCCTACTGTTAAAATTCTTTCTGTCAAGAATTATTGCAAGAAAAAGGGAAACCTTGTGAAAAATGTCCATTTTGCCGTGACTTCTGACTCTATTCTACGTAAGCAACAGACTAACTTTAGCACTAACTGACTAAACATAGGTAGGGCCAATATCACAACTCCACTGGTACCACTTTATTCATAAGCAATGGCCAACGGGCCAGTATGTTTATTCATGAGAACAGAACGATGATATCAACAGCATTGTTGAAATTTAGTTAAACCGTTACATTAAAGCATTTTTAAGAACGGTTGTCGTCGAGCTACCACACAGCAGCCTCTAGAGTAGTGGATAGCGAGATGAGCTATGGATACAAAGATCCCTGGTTCGAATCCACGTCGTCGCTGCTCATTTTCATCGGCTACTTTTCTTCTCTGAGTTTATCGTTGAGATAATTTTAATTTAAGGGAAAGAACCCAAGTGTCTTGCAGGGATTCAAAGGAAAAACATAAATTAACATAAGTGGTACCCCTGGAGTTGTGATACTGGCACTACCAACAAACAACACACAGCAACACATCTATGCATTTAATACAACTTTGAGCAAGGAATTTCAAAATGAAGCTAGTCCGAGTAACTAGGACTCTACGAATCGCCTTTTTTAACATTTGGATATGGTCGGGCAACCATGTCCAAATGTTACAAAAGGCGATTCGTAGAGTCCTAGTTACTCGGACTAAAAAGCAAGCATGTTGACAAAACATTATTAAACTTACCAAATAATGATGGGCAAAAAGCACATTTAGTTCCACAAAGAGATAGACAAATGACACAATTAGTACGCATCAATCATTAACATCCACAGTCAGAGTAGACCAGCACGGCAGCGGACTCAAACTTCGAAGTACAAAAGTTACGCACGACAGCAACACATAGACACTCGTACAAACTGGAATTTTGTGGAAAGTACATTGCGGAAGTTAAAGAGAAAAAAAAATGCACACATCCCTTACGAACAGGAAATCCGCAATAAGTGGAACGCAACAGACGATGCAACTAGCTGGACACCCATTAGTGCAATTTAGAGCAAATAATGTGGAATAAAAACCAAGGATTTTACCTCTTTAGAATCGGAGGAGCCTTCTTGCAAATCTTCGACTTCCCCGCAAGACATGTTGCCTTCTGATTTCCATACAGCAGTTGTATGATCGATCCTCGTCAGAGGTTTAAAAACGCATAGAACAGTCGTACACTTGTCATAAAAGTAAACTTCGATAAACTTTTTTTTTATATCGAAAGAGGGCGGTGTATCTAAGTTACCGGCAAGTTCGCACTATGGTTCGCATGGTTCGCTAGCTTTGGTTCGCCTCATAGACATCTGCTTGCGGAAGGGGGGGGGGGGGGGGGTGTGAGGGAGGGTGTAATGATAATGCAGTATTTGTAATTGCTATAAATATACCCAGTCCTCTATTCCTAGGTGTCTATTAACAATTTTCACGCCAGGATTCAATAATAGATAACGCACTTGTTAAAAGTTGGCAAGACTGCCTTACGAGCATATCCTCGTGTTATTAATTATTTGCGCACTTAGTTTAACAAATGTTGTCTTAATGAATAAACTTAAACCACACGTTTTTGAACTTTAACGTAAAGCATTACTAATAACCTAGTTCATGGACAAATAATTTGAACAATATCGAACGTCATTTTTTTACGTGTAAATTTGGGGGTTAAGGCCCCCATGTCAAGCAGCCCTTATTCGCCTAATTCGCCGGCCGGGTGTTTTTGCAAATGGTTATTCCGCAAAGTTGCAGAAAAGCCTTTATTATTGTCAAGATTGTTTTCCGGCCTTCACTTTGGGCCTTAATCTTGCTGGAGTGCAGCTGAGGTTGCAAAAAGGCAACCAGCAGGACTCCAAGTGGAGTGAATTGGATGCAGTTGAGTCCTTGTGCGGTCCCGACAAGCAGCCTTGCTATTGAAGTATTTGTCCTTGGGCAAGACACTTTTTCAATAGCAAATTTAGGGACCCGTGCAGGCAGAGATGATCATTGAGATTGAATTTTCGGTTTACACTGAAATGTTGGTATAGCTGTTACATAAGTTACAATATGAATTTATTTTTGAACCTTATAAAGTCTCGACAATGAAAAAAAAAGTAATGGGATAAAGAAAAACATAGATAACGCACTTGTTAAAAGTTGGCAAGACTGCCTTACGAGCATATCCTCGTGTTATTAATTATTTGCGCACTTAGTTTAACAAATGTTGTCTTAATGAATAAACTTAAACCACACGTTTTTGAACTTTAACGTAAAGCATTACTAATAACCTAGTTCATGGACAAATAATTTGAACAATATCGAACGTCATTTTTTTACGTGTAAATTTGGGGGTTAAGGCCCCCATGTCAAGCAGCCCTTATTCGCCTAATTCGCCGGCCGGGTGTTTTTGCAAATGGTTATTCCGCAAAGTTGCAGAAAAGCCTTTATTATTGTCAAGATTGTTTTCCGGCCTTCACTTTGGGCCTTAATCTTGCTGGAGTGCAGCTGAGGTTGCAAAAAGGCAACCAGCAGGACTCCAAGTGGAGTGAATTGGATGCAGTTGAGTCCTTGTGCGGTCCCGACAAGCAGCCTTGCTATTGAAGTATTTGTCCTTGGGCAAGACACTTTATCAATAGCAAATTTAGGGACCCGTGCAGGCAGAAATGATCATTGAGATTGAATTTTCGGTTTACACTGAAATGTTGGTATAGCTGTTACATAAGTTACAATATGAATTTATTTTTGAACCTTATAAAGTCTCGACAATGAAAAAAAAAGTAATGGGATAAAGAAAAACAAAAAGTTATGTGGTGTTGACCAAGCATTCAGGGGCCGCGATTGGTTACCGGCTCCCATATAGGGCTCTTCCTGGGTCTCGGATTCCCCGGCCCACCACACCTCCTTCCCTATCCATCCATGTAACCCCGGAGGGCCAAGCACCGTTAAGGGAGGAAACGAGGCGACACCCTATGCCTTGCTGCCGAGACAGCAAAAGAGCCCCGTACCTATGAGTAGATGCATAACCTGGACTTCGCAGACAGTCCCAGCCGGTGACTTAACTGATTGAGCTAAGGTCGGTTGGTATTTGACGACAGGAAATTAAGACTCTTAAATAAATGACTGAGCGCGTGTATTGAAAACCAAAAAATGCACCCGGTCCGTTTCGAACCCCAGACCCCGCGGTCTGTGGACGAATACCCTAACCACTAGGCTATTGTACATACAGTCTTCGAATCACTGAGTCTTAATATATAGTTGGAGACACTTGGAGGATTGTTAGCTCAATCTGCGCTTTATTATATGCATGTAAAAAAAAAACCTCTAAAACTCCCGTAATAAACAACGATTGAATGAATTGTAAAACAAACCTGTTTCATTAAGGCACTTTTACTTCAATTGTATTCGTATACGGTACATTCGCCGTAATTTTGTTTCGCAATGTATCGGTCTATCTCCAATACCTTATACTCTTCAATCCATTATTGCCTTTTCAGGAATTTCGATATATATATTACTCTACTCGGCAAACTATTCATTTCCAACCACCATTTACTACTTTTACTTCAAAACATATTCACTACGAGGGAACCAAATTTAATATAGAACTCTCCATCGACTCCTAAAAAAATTCTACGTGTTTACAAATCTATTTTGCTGAATATTTACATTCATTATGAAACTATTGTTATTTATTCCTTGCAAAATTAGGAATATTATTGATATGTACAGCCTTAATTGTTTATCTTTGCATAAATCTTTTTCTCCGAATGACAGCCTTTTGCTTGACTGTCACTTGGTGTCGATCCGAACATATGCCTACTGTGTTCTAGGGCCGATCCCTATTATACAAGCTGTGCTTTTTTATGGATTCCTCTATTGTTTTCACTCGTCTGTTGGACATGTACATGTACACCCTACATTATACACACTGATTAGCGAACACTGGATAAACTGAACTGACTTCTATAACGAAACGTTTGAACAGGTAAGTCCATGTATCCACTGACTCGATTGGATGTCCTAAATTTCATCTTCCCTTTCATTTTGACCTTGTGTCTGCTTTTAATTTATTTTGTTGTAGAATTTCAAGCTAACATTTTGTAAGACAGGTTCGATTTGCACTGTCGTTTTTTTTTATCACGCAATTTGAATGTCATGTTGGTCACGATGTGTCGTCTATAGGCCTACACTGGTTTCTTTTAAGAATGCGGGGAGAGGTTTTGTTCTCGCTCGAGCGACTCGTGAGCTTTGTTTCCGAATGCGATTGTTCACCAGTTTCTTTGCAGAGGATCAAATCGTTGGTTTCACCGCCGTGGAAGAGTTGCTTTCAAGATACGGTCTTTGTTTCACGACTGGTGTAGCCCACTGTTCGTATGAGTCCTCCTTACGTAACAAAAAGAGTTACGTAACTTTTTTTGTTCAAAATGTATACGTTATTGCAATGTGAATGGGAAGACTTCGCCTGTCTGTTCAACTTCTCCGCTTTTGTTCCAATATCGTGATACAAGAGCGAATGGGGCATATACCGGCTTTTATTAACCTGCGCTTGGGCGGTGTAGGCCTGTTGCATGGAAAGAAAGATACATGTGTACGGTATTGAAACTCAGTTTGGTTTCTGCATGTCGCCCCAAAGACCTAAGACATAATGACGTCACGCTTTGTTTACATGTGCGCTTTGCTATGAGAGCCAAATAGTCAGGCGGCATTAAGGTCGGAATCGTAACCGACTGGTCCAAAAAGCACCAAACTTGGCAGATTATTCTTATAGCCCTAAGGAAGATATTTAGAAGGGGTGACACCTGGAATTATTTGGGAAGGGTGCCTAATTTGCATAAATCGTTAATACCTACCGTGTAATATATTTGTTTCCATATTTGGGTATTTTTTGATTTTTTTTTTGATTTTTTGAAAAGTATATTTTGGGGATTCTTCTTCCTTACTTAAATAACGTTTTCTAAAGCATATCAGAGACTGGATGATTACGAGGACATAATGAAGATCCAAAATGGCTACTATTATACCCTAAAGTTGCGCGTATTTACCTTTTCCTAAGATATCATCGAGTAGTCTTGCCAAACCTCAGTACGGATGAGCTTCATGTTCACAAACAAAAATAAGTGGGAAATCATATGATAAATGATAACATCTTTATGTTTAGCCCAAAATTTCCAATATAGCTCCATGGTTTCACCGTGGAAGAGTTGCTTCAAGATACGGTCTTTGTTTCACGACGGGTGTAGCGCACTGTTGGTATGAGTCCTTCATTACGTAACAAAAAAAAGTTACGTAACCTTTTTTGTTCAAAATGTACACGTTATTGCAATGTGAATGGGAAGACTTTGCCTGTCTGTTCAACTTCTCCGCTTTTGTTCTAATATCGTGATACAAGAGCGAATGGGGAATATACCGGCTTGTTTTAACCTGTGCTTGGGCGGCGTAGGCCTGTTGCATGGAAAGAAAGATACATGTATACGGTATTGAAACTAAGTGTCTGCATGTCGCCCAAAAGACCTAAGACATAATGACGTCACGCTTTGTTCACATGTGCACTTTGCCATGAGCGCCAAAGTTGAATCGGATGTAGGACATAAATCTGATGAAATTAATACTACGCACAAAACTAAAGCAATTAGTATGTTATTTACGCTCCCAATTAATGCTATTATTTTGCAAGTTATAGATAGGAGCAGTTAAAAAAGCGTCATTTACAGGCCGGTTCACCGTACAGCACGTCGTCCCCAAACCCTGGTTTGTTATAGACTGTATGAACGGAGAGGTTTCGGTCTCGCGCGAGCGACTCGAAGCGTTGTTTCCGAAGGATCAAACCACAAATGCATGTAAAATGGTTCGTCGTGGAAAAGTTACCTAATACTTTCTCTTACTTTTTGGGTGCAACGCACTATTCTTAATGCTCTCCCGACGTTACGTAACTTTTTGTGTGATTGCGAAGTCGCCATTTCAGGCTTAAGTTCTCCGCTTTTGTTCCAACATCGCGATACAAAGAGCGAATAGGGCACACACCGCTTTACCCGATCAACCTACATTTAGACGGTATTCGGGTGTGTTGCATTGGAATGGAAGCGAGATACGGCATTGAAACTAGAACAGAAACGCCCGAGCAAGTACACTTTTTTCAAAGCCCCTTCTAAATTATCGAACAATCTACAGTTCATAAACTGGGCAGGGATGTGATAGGTTCATATATAGCTTATACGATACTGAT